GCAAAGGAAGCTAGTCTAATTCATAACTGTGAAGTGTGGATTTAAAATCTTAATACACTTTTCTTACATTACTGTAGAACTGGTAGGATTTACATCAGATATGAATTCATCATAGTGACGATTTGTAGGCTAAAAGAATATGGCAACTATACATCTCACTATAATTTCAACACATGATTTAGGAACAAGACCCCAAGCTTAAAAGGGCTAAGTCAAAACAACCAATTTCGACATTATATTATAACAGCATTTTAGGATTCCCACGTGGAAATCTGATACCTTCATTTTGTTTCAAGGAGAATTTAGGGGTTATTCAATAGTTTAAGCATGTACTTTTTGTATCTCAAAATATACAAAATTTTATATTGAAGTGTTCATATAAGTATACCACACACACACATAAATACACACAGACACATTAGTATACATGCACACACACAATTAGAAACCTTATGGAGGTGATTATATAACATAAAAACCAATAGAAAATTGTAGCATCAGGGAAAAAATACATTTTACTGGTATACACCAAAGTAGCTAGCTTATATTTGTTCAGAGAAAAAAAGTTTTGTTCTTGTTAATGGAGTCCTCTGGCTCAAAAATCAAAACCAGGCCAGGCTATTCTAGAAATAAAGTTATGATATTTGATGCAGCCAGTGTCAGGAAGGCTCAAAAGGTCAAAGGAACTTTCATCCTGACTAAACTCTGAAAGGGACTGAAAAATCAAATTTTAATCACTACTAGTTTAAGATTGGAAGTTAACAAGGAAGTTTTATCATAATTACCATTGAACATTACAATGAAAATACCTAATTTGCTCATATTTGTTAATAGATTTTAAACAGATGTTTGACAAAGCCTGGATTTCACTTAAATCCAATGACGGTGATTCTGTCTGCTTGCTGCAGCATCTGCACAAGTCCCAACAAATGCCCCCCTGACAGGAGACAGTGAACAAGGGAGGGACTGTCCCAAATTTAGGCAGTGAAGGGATCCCTCATTAGAAGGATCCTCTTTTGGTAAGCACGTGTCAGCCCAGATTCAAGAAGGCACTATTTTATACTGAAGTACTTATACGCAGAGCCAAATTAGCTTGACTGACAGGTTGAGTCTGGAGACGAAGCTATGGGATCTTCCATACTGGGAAATTCCCTAGCCTAAAAAATCCCCTCTCCTGAGACTTTGCAATAAGGTTTATACTCAATGATCACCATGTTGAAGCCACTTCCATTCATTTGTACCAAATCAGAGCCATCAAGCCACTAACTCCAGCCAGTCACAGAACTGCTGCCCCTGCCTGCTCAGCGCTACGATGAGCACAAGCAGCAGGCAGCTCCTCCCTCGTCTCTACTGGTTCGCAGTTGGGACTGCGGGCTTCCCGGCCTCTTGATCTGCTAGTAGCAGCTCTGGGTGAAGAGATGGCTTCCCCCTGGATACTGAGATGCTGATCTCCACAGAGAGAGGTCCAAGCTACAGCTTTCAATCTACAAAGTTCTTCGGGTTCAGAATGCTGGTTAAACAAAGGTCAAGGAAAGAAGAGTGTTAGTTTCTCAAGAAGCAACATCCTAATGCTTGCACAGCTCCCTAAAAAAGGGGAAAACAGAGCTGGGGCAAGGGGTACAGGATACTGGGGGAGTGCCCCCAATAGTTCCATATCACGTGCTGTCACAATCCTCCTGTGGCATCCAATTCATCTAAACTTTATCTAGATTGTAGCTTAGAGAATATTGGGCGATCTTACTTTGGAAGGGATTACACCATCTAACGCAGGGGCCGGCACACTTTTTCCATAAGGAGCCAGAGAGAAAGTATGTTGGCTTTCCAGGCCATACGGCTGTCGCTGCCGCAATCACTGAATTTCGCTGTTAACACAAAAGCAGCTACAGGCAAAGTGGAAATAAATGGGTGTGGCTATGTTCCGATAAAACTTCACTTACAAATCAGCCACTAAATCAGATTTCACCCATGGGCCAGTTTGCAGACCCCCTAACCTAGACAGCTGAATCCAGTCAGCAGCCATATCTGGTTACAAGCTTTAAGTGTAAAAACAGAGATTTCATGAACTCATTCGTGATGCTTTATTCTGACATTTCCTCAGAACCCTTTTCCTGTCTTCCATGATCACCCTGATGTTTTTCAGTTGAATTAAGTAGGAGTCCTTCCAATTGTCTTAGTAACGTAAAACACCAAAAATCTAAAATACAGCTATCACATACATCTGGGGGAGAAGACGAGAGAGAACCTGCTTGGAGGCCACTTCGAAGGGAGTGGTGCCTTGGTACAGTCCTGAGGCTCACCAAGGACAGGTGTCCCTCTCCGCACCTGACTGACCCCTTCTACAGCAGAGAGAGCCTCCTCCCCAGGGGCAATTCCAACAAAGAGCAGCCTTGTGGGGAATTTAGAAATGCAGAAGTCACCTGAAGTACCTTACTTGTGAATCAGCCTTTGTAAAGCAAATTAGGTCACCTCTGTCTTTAGTCAAGAGTCTGTCAGTCTCAAAATCCATACCAGTGTGTTTTGTTCCCGCCCACTCTGCTTCAAAGAGAACATTCACAAGGATAAAGACTGGACAGTTAATATCAAGAAAGTAGGTTCCCTTGAGTGGCAAAAGGAAAGTGAACCCCAACACTATCAAAGCTTGGACAGAAGATGACTCGTGAATGCCCAGAAGTCTTGGAAATGAAGATGCCCAATTCATTCCTCATTCACTCATTTCAATTGAAATGGACAGAAATAAAGTAGATAGCAATTTATACACGGACACGTTCATAGTTCAGCAGAAGGAAGGACTTTATCTAGCAGCCACAGCCTGCTTGGGCAAGGACACTTTCTAAGGCAGCCACGCAGTTACAAAATCTAACTTAGTTACAACGGACAGCTAAACAGCCGCATGCCTATCTTCAGCCTCCTTTCTTTAAGCCTGATATCACTGCTGCATTGCAGAAGTTATTTGCAAGGATTTGATTGCCTGGAATTTTCAGGACAATCTTATTTCAAAACTTAAGAATGAAAATCTTCAGCACTCACCTAACGTACGCTTCTCTAGAGAGCAGAGAGGAAATGGGTGAGGTGGCAATGCTGAAGGCCATTTCTGAGGGAAGACCACAGCCGGGGAAACTGCGGTGGAGGGGCGGTGGGGTTAAATAGGAAGAGCTGGTTGCTCTAAAGACCTTCCCCGGCATGCCTTCCATCCTGACCTTTACACTGCGCCACCACTTCCAGCTAAAGCACAGACACCGGCTTGCGGTGGCCACAGAATGGACTATGGACGTCAGGAAGGAAAAGCCTTCAAAGGGAGGCGGGAGCTGTGAAGAGCACAGGGCTTCCTCAGGAAGGTTGGAGGTCCACTCCAGTCAACAGCACATTTATTCTCGATGCTTCAGAATCTCCTTCTCCTTTCTGATAATAACTAAATATCCAATTAAACACAGCTCTTTGAATATTCTGAACCAACTCCATTAGCCCTGGATTACAATGTCATAAACCTGATGCTGCCAATCTTTGGCCATATCCCAAGGTCTGCTACCTAGTGTCAGAGAAAAGTGTGAACACTTAGCAGAAAATCAGCAGTTACATACCTTACTAATTAAAGGGAAAAGTTAGCCATACTATTAAGGGAATGAGATAGTCTGGTTAATTTTTTGGTTAACTGAGTATTAAACAGATATTTCACTGGGGTCCTTAAGTTCTTATTTTTCCTTAATATTAATCCACACCCTCACATAACAGTAGTCTATGCCATCAACAGCACATTATTTCTTGGACGACTGAAGACCCAGCCACCATTTTTCATGTAGCATCATCAGTTTTGACATCAATGATGATTATACAGAATTTACCACAATACAGAAGTTCAGAAAATTGGACTGCACATAATCCGAGCCAGGATGAGGCTTGACAGTTGATTTTAAATAAATCCCGTTCAGTTTTTTATAAAATTCCATTTGTTTCCGTGCCTTCGTGGACAAAGGCAATCAAGAGTTCTGCTCTGCGACTACAGATCGTTAGATTTCAGGCCCTTTACTATACAATAACTGATACCCTAAGAGAGCATTTTCACTCTTGTGCGTGCCCCAGTGATGCCAGGGAATGGGAATGTTTCTAGAGGTTCAAGAAGGGGTCACTGAAAATTAAGACACAGAAAGGGCAGAGTACAGGCAATGCACAGGGGTGAGGAGACACCGCTTATGAAAAAGAAGGCCGACGTGGGAGTTGGGAGGGGTCAAAAGGACAGTGAGAACTTGCCAGAAGGCAGCCAAATGCAGTTCCATTTTTTGTCTTTGAATTAATCTGAAGATGCATATCCTTACTCAAAGCAGTTATTCCTACAGATTCAGATATTGATGTAAATGGACCAAAACAAAATAAGATTAAAGCCACGTGGAGAACTCTCCTGCACAAGCCCCAGGATACCAAAGGAAGGGCACCTCTCCAGCCATCTCCCACAGGGTGGCCACTGTGGTTAAACCCTGGCAAGTAAGAGGGTTAATTTAGAGGCTATGACAGGTTTAATTTTCCAACTTGATAAAGAATAAGATCCTGCTCCCAAGGGAAAATGATATTCCCAGTGACCAAATGAAACCTACAGTACCCTTTATTCCAAAGTCAAGAGACTGTTGTTCCAATATTCCATTACCAACCAATTTTGGTTCGGATGACCCAGGTAATTGGAGTATGCCCATACAACACACTGACCAAGTCAGAAACCCTTGGACAGAGCCCATGTCTCTAATCCTTGAATACCAAAAGAAGTGCCATCTTTTGCTAAGTGTTCAGCTTTCAGAGAATTCAAGGTCAGCCCCTTCACAGCTTCCCATGATAACACTGGGATTTTAAAAGAGGCCAGGATTTTGATGAAATGATAGATGAAAAGGCTGTAAGTACATTTTTAAATTAGAGAAACACTATGCAAAATTCCATCATGGTTAGAGTTAGGTGGATTTCATTACGGCAATGGCATAAAACAATGACCCCACCAGCAACTAGAAAGCATGGCCTACCTATTCCTGAATTTGCTCCAGTCACTATGACCACTTTGCCAGTGAAGTCCCGGCCCTGCAGTATTTCCATGGCGGTGGTGCTGCCGTCATATTTCTGTCTGGTGGTCGGCTTTGTCGGGTTATCATCCACAGTAAATGCCAGTCTTGGGTCCAAATAGGTAGTTCTTTTATTTATATGGCTGCAAAGAAAAGGAGAAGGCAGTGAACCCACAGTAGTGAACAGAGGCATTTATAAAAATAAGGCAGTCTTACAGTTTAGGCTGGACAAACTCCACTTTTCATGTACTAAAAAAGGCTTCTTCTTAACCTCGGAAAGAACTGAGGTCCATTTAGTCTACCTTCTGGCCTACGGAAGGATTACATTCCTGCCTGGAAAGAGAGTCATCAAGTCCTTTCCTTCATAACTGCCTGTAAAATACACTTTACAATAGGTGTTGCCTTGTATCCTTAGATCTCAAAAAAGGAGAAGGCTTATGTTTTTTTGTTTTAATTTATGTAAACATGGCTACAAGATCTGTCAGGTCCTCTTTTCAGTAGATGTCAAATCTCTTAGCCCTGTGCAAGGGCATAGGCCTGGTAAAGAAGAAAAAAACCTTAAAATGATAAACGTCTTAATGTTAAATATGAACCTGGCCAAGTGTTAAAATTTTAATGATGTTCATTTTAAGACTGTATTCATACCTTCTACAAGCACCGGAGTTGACCTAATTCTTGCAGAAACAATATTAAAATATATTGGTACATATGGATTAATAGATTCCTTATGTAACAGAATTGTTTACATTTTAAATGTACTCTTGGGATTTGAGATAAAGATCTCAAAATATCTTAAAAATTATTAAGAACACTCCAGAAACAGAGAATTCATGACTTAAAATGTATTTGTATTATATGTGTGTGTGTAAAATTACATATAGTTTAAAATCTATACTCATCACCCTATAAATACTAAGACCCAAGAATATCCCAACTTGGATTTTAATTATTCCTGTGGCTACCAGATAAGCACTTTGATTCCAGTGTTATCCAGAGACATAGTGCAATGCTGTTCTAGAGCTGGTTCACACTGGCTTGCAAGAGCCCGACATGCTTATCTCTTCTCAACTTCATCTGGGTAGCTTGAAATAAGCTGTGGTGCAGGTATGTATACCATGAGAATGAATCTGGCCTCTCCCCCTAGAGAGCTGGCTGTTAAGCATAACAGACTCAGAGAGGTAAGGTAGGCTAGCCAGGGCAGCCAAGTGCCAGCTTGCCTCCCGTAGGGCATTTTGGGTTTTGAATGAGCTAATACTACAGGTGTAAGTGATCAGAATCATGCCTGGCTGATGTTACGTGCTAGACAGTTACTACTGCTGTTTCTTATTGGAAATTATTCTAAAGACAGTTTTACAGACAAGGATGCTCAAAACATTAGTGATAAGTATAGATGCCCATTAATGGGAATTTAACATCAATGTCCAATAGGTAATTTGATAAACTATAAATCTGTACAAAACAGTACTCTATAGTTATGAAACATCATCTTCTTCAAAATACATAAGGATATGAGAAAATGCTCACAAGATATTTATGTAGAAAAACCAGGTTACTGAACAGTTCACACAGTACATTCCTTAGTTTTTTTAAGGAAAGCATGTGTATAAAACAGAGACTAGAAGAATAAATTCAGAAAGCTTCAAAAGTCCTTTTGATAAGACTACAGTTATATTCTATGTCATATTTTCTTAATGCGCATTTACAATAAAAAAATGCTATTAAAAAGCAAAATGGCTCAGAAGAGTTCCTGTGTAGACACTTACTCAACAAAAAAGACTTGTCCGTTCTCATCAGTTTCTTGCTCCCAACCATACGGCAAATCTGAAATGCAAGAAAGACAGGATGATGCTTTTGATGAGCCCCTAACCGCTTGGTCCAGTTGACATGACTCTCCCTGAAAGAATGCACAGGGTGCATCCCTGCGTAGAGCAGGCACCTGGCACCACCTGCGCACGGATTTAGTGTGGCTCTTGACAATATTACAGGGCAGTTTCGTTTTTCTTAATATGCACGTGTCTCTTCAACTAGACCCTAAACTTCTTGAGGCAGGTACCTTCCTACACTTCTATTCCATGGATCACACACTCACTCAGAAGCACCTACAAGTCATGGCAATCTTTATGGAATCCCATCAAACCCTGATTTGGTTCCATGGAGGAGACTAAGAACAATTTCAGGAACAGTGCAGCTACAGAAAAACCTAATGAGCTATGAGCCAAAGGCCCCGATTACTGTAATACTTTTCTAAGACCATTAGAAACCATCCTCACCACTCCGCCCCAAGAGCTCATCTCCTCCTTCTGCTGAATCCTACGAGCAACTCAGAGTCCAGTTCCTCGATGGTTCCCTGTCAGAGAGCCTTCCCAGAATGACACAGTGACCTGCCACCTCTCTGACAGTGACAGTTCTCCTATCTAATGAGTGCTTTAAACACACAGTTCTCTGTTTCACGACAATAACACACAAACCTCCTGCTAGTCGTTTTCTTTTTCCAGTTTTTGGATGTTCCCATTGAGTCTTCTCTTCAGTGTGACTGTTGGAAAACAAAAAATCCACAAAACAGTAAGTAAAAGTTACACTCTGAAAAATTAATCAATTACTCAATTACATGTTTTTCTCTCCCAAATAATACTATCTCTCAAGCGTAGTAAAGACAGACGTTCAGAAAAGAAATATTCAGAACATAAATGTTGCTCTTGGCATCAGATAAAATTCTCCTTGGAAGGAGCAGCAGCCTGCGGAAGTCTCCTGAAAGCCGGTCCTCATAAGCCAGCTGTGAGAAGGAGGGTGGGGGAGGGGGCCTGGGACCCCCATTGTGGGTCCCCCCCTAGGAAGCTCACTGAATCATTCGAGACATTCAGAGAGGTGGTGTGCATGTTTTATTCCAGCACACACTGACAAACTTCGATGTGCTCTACAGTGCTGGTATTTAGGATCCTTACATACAATACTAATATTTTTAAATGTCTGTTCTTTCCACATATAACTTCAAAGTCTTTTAAGCACTGTTTCCTAATTGCTCCCAAGAAGTAAGAGTACAGTAAGACAGCCCCACAGGTAACCCAGCTGCATACCTTTGGTCAAGTTACTCAACTTCAGAGCCTCAATTTCCTCATCTGCAAAATGGAAATAATCCTACGACTGATCTCAGGGAAACACTATAAGGATACTGTATACAAAGGGCAGAACACAGAACATGGTACATAATCAGCTCTCTAAAGAGTTGGCAATCATTGTAAATAAATCAAATACACACATGAGTCTCATTTCTGCACCAAACTTAACATTTTATCTCAGAAGAGCACACAAAGTTTTAATTAAAATCATGAGCCAAAAGACAGGAGACACCTGTCAACAGGTGATAACTATGAGGAAAACACAAAATGACTTAATCAGGGAAGCAGCTGGATGTTGCCAGAGGCATTCAAAGGAAGGTTGGGTTTCCATACTCATGCCAAAGGAGAAAACAGTATTTAATCACTGACATCTAGATGGTAAAATTTGAGTAT